ATTATTATTATTATTATTATTATTATTATTATTATTATTATTATTATTTCTGCTGGGATGCTGTACGTCTCTAACTCTAAGCCTGCGCTAGCCCTGACAGGCAGGGTCGGATGCCCGCCTCCTTAATGACACAAATTTGTCAATTTTAGAAGAGAGGGGAGGGAGGCGTAAAAACATTTCTAAAATGCTAATCAGAAGGCCACCCAACATTGTATACATGTAGGGTTAAACCTTTCGTTTGTGCGCGGAATGTAATAGGTCCTAAGGGACTTCCAGGTCCAATCTGTTAAAGCAAAGCAGAGTAAGTCTATTTGACGGAGTGTGCACTTGCCAGTGCCTTTATCCTACCCGACCCGATCCTATCTGATCGGATCATGCAAATTTAGACCAATGAGCAAATTTATGTCTCAGTGTCTCTACCCCATGACTTAAATGCTATCGGACTCTGAAGATCAGACCCGTGAAACTTCTCGAAATGTGACAAGAATTTTTTTAAAGGTAATATAAACGACAGTCGAACTTGTTCAAGACGACCAAATATTGTGGAGAAGAAAAGTGGTCTTTATTGACATGAGGTCTTTATGGACAGTGTCATTATAACAAGAACAAAATCACCGTATAAGGGGTGGGCGTACTTCTACGACAGCGCCATTATAAATGTATCAAAATAAACATGAGGTGGGAAGTGGTGCAGGTGATTGTCTTGGACAGGTAGTCGTTAGAGCAGGGTCGCCCGTAATAGATTTGCGCGTTTGCTGCTGAGCTTAACAGCAGTGGGTGGTTGGCGGTTGCTCTGGTAAGGTTTGCTCCTTCCTTCCTATCAAACGTCTATCGTCCTTATCTCCCCTTCTTCTTTTTTTGTTTGTTGCTCTCTTGTAACACCTCTAATTTTCTGGCGGTCATATTATGACCTTATGTAGTTGCAAGCGCCGTAAAACCTCTACTAACACTAAAAAGCTTCATTAACAGCAGGTGGTGTAGTGTGGTAGAGTGTCTGAACTCACCCTGACCGCCGGAGGTACCAGTAGGTTAGAGCCAGCAGAACGACGATCAGGGCCACAGTTCCTATGATGGCGACAACAGTGCCTGTAGCTGGACCGTCCTCTGTGG